CAAAAATACACAAAAAAATGTCCACAATGACCCAGAAATGGTCTAAAAACATGAAAAGCCTCCAAAATTACTCAAAAAATGACTCAAAGTGACGTTAAAGTCGTCCAGATTAGACGATAAACATCCAGGATTAACCAAAACCAGTTTGGTTTTCAGTTATTTGGACAAATTCTGAGTCATTTTGAGGAATTTTTTGAGGTGTTTGTTGGTTCGGTTCTGACCTGAAACCAGGTCCAGTGTTTATACCGAGACGCCTGGATGGATGTAAAGAGTTCTGAGGCTCAGAAATGATGAAAACATGGACTTGAAGGGCGTCGAACTCTGGAGATATTCACGGTATGAAGGTGGAGCTCTGTGTGGCTTCAGTAAAGTCACTGTAGATGCAGAACCAGCTGGTTCTGAGGAGGTCGGGCAGAACTTTTATCTTGTATCAGCGACGTTGTTGTTGGTTGATTACGTCCAGAGTCCAGGAGGTTGTTCTGGAGTGATCGGCTCGCTGCTGGAGCTACTTCTCCATCCTCGCCTTCCACATGAGGAGGAAGTTCTACCAACAGCTCCTCCCTCCTCCTCCTCCACCTCCTCTTCCTCCCCACCCGTCCACCTGCCGCCGCTCCTCCTCCTCCTCCTCCTCCTCCTGCTCCTCCTCCTCACCCCACTGGTGCTCTTCTTCTTCTTCTTCTTTCCACAGATGAGCTCACAGTGCCCGCTCTCTATCCCAGCAGCCCAGACGTGTGGGCTTCGTACCCGCTGTACCCGGCGGAGCTGTCGCCGGCCCTCCCACCCGCTTTCACCTACCCCTCCTCGCTCCNAATTATGATTTAACAAAACAGTAAAAATCTGTTGTTAAAAAAAAGTGTTTTAAAAATATTTACCATTATTTAATCCATAATGATTATAAATAAATCTAAATATTTTTTTAAAAATAACAACAAATGTTTATAAATAATGAACTACCTGATAAACATGTTTTTATTTAATTATTATTATTTTTAACAGATTTTTCTATTTTGTAAAATTCAGAAAATATTTAGTAAAATAACAGAAAAATATTAATCTACATGTTGACTGTGAAAAAAAAAATTTAAATTTAAAAAAAAAAAAAAAACTGAAAAAAACCCAAAACCGACTCACCACAGAATTATGTTTTTTAAACTGTTTTTAATTCAGCAAAAATAATAATAATAAAAAAATAATGATATTTTTCTTTACAGCTTATAGGCATTACTGTATTTTTTACATTTTTTTAAAAACAGATTTTGTTTCCTGTATTTTTTATTATTTTTTCCCCCTGCTCCACTAAAATCACTCGACCACTAATTTTCTCAGATATTTATTTCCTTTAATGAGCCAAACGTGGAATATTTTTGGCATCACTCGATCCTTAACGTACAGATTTATTTCTCCGAACATCGCCGGTTATCTGTGAACTAGAGAGATGAGAGGAAGTGACATCGCCTCCCACCGGACGCCTCGACAACAGAGGAGCCGTCAGAGCAGCGCCGAGGCCGATATCAAACCTGCTCAGGTCTAAATCCGTCTCCTTCATCACCACTTCAAGGCACCAGACAGCCAGCCGAGTATTTATAACTCCACCGGCTTCAGCGCCGAGCCCGCTTATCGGTTCTGTCAGCACGTTTCAGGCTGAAGCGTCGCAGCGAAACGTCGGATCCCTCACGGTGCTGATGGGAGTCGTGATGTCGTGAATCAATGAATCAGTGAATCTGAATCTGGGCTGGACGTTGTCACAAAACAAATCACCTGAAAGAGGAAAACAGTCGACTAAACGTGCACAGAGGTCCAATTAACTCCAATTAACCAGTTAAAACATGAAGGATGCAGGAAACTGGACGTTAAAATGAGAGGATTTCAAAATAAAACATGACAAAAAGTGTTTGCACTCGTCTGCATGAATCTTTTTGAGTTGAGGCAACTTTCAATAAAATTGTGTTCAACCAATGAACTGAATGAAGTTGGATGAATTTACTTTTGCTCTTTAATCAACTGTATTTTTTTTAACTTGTGATTTGTTGCATAAACACACGTTTTGGTGATCGAGATCATTTAGGGTCGTTTTTTTGTCATTTCGTACGAACTACAGACATTTTTATTTGTACTTTTAGGTAAAATTTTGACGTGTTGAACACTTTATGAAATATATTTTACACTCTTGGACGCATTTTAGGTCATTTTTCACAACTAAAATTATTATTATGCAAGTTATATGACATTTTTGGTACATTTTGGATCTTTTTGAGCCTTTTTTAAAATAATCTCAGAAAAATTTTAGGTCATTTTCAACAATTTTTTGGGTCATTTTTGACGACAGTTTTGACCGTTTTTGACTATTTGTGGCTCAGATTGTACATTCTTGATCGGGTTTTTATGTAACTTTGGACAATTTATGAGACTTTTTTGACATTTTTTTGTAATTTGGGGCCAAACTGAAACATAAACACATCCAGGGAACCAATTCTGTGTCATTAAATTGCTGAAATTAGACTGTTTAAACTTTAAATATACTGAAGTTATTGTTTAGGAGATCAGGAGGGATCGACTGTTCATGTAATGACCTGATCAGTCGTCCTCCATGTGACTCATCAACACCTCAGTGATGGTCCGACCTCCAGTATCACCCTAAATCTCTGATATTCAGCTTTTCGACGCCGTCCTGCTGTCGCTAACGGATCTCTTTCCCGGTTGGTTTCAGGGCGTCCGTTTCGACCCGGAGATCCCTCAGACCCTGCGGCTGGAGTTCGCCAAAGCCAACACCAAGATGGCCAAGAACAAGCTGGTGGGGACGCCCAACCCGCCGCCGTCGCAGCAGAGCCCCGGGCCTCAGTTCATCAGCAGAGACCCCTGTGAGTTTCACTTTCACTTCGTCCTGCTTCAGCTCCTGCTTGTTGTTCTGTCGCCGTCGTGTTGGAGCTGCTTCCTCGCTAGTCAGAGTCAGAGTTCATCGTCTAAACTCCTGATTGGACCCTTTAGACAGGAGTTTCTGCTAAATGCTTAAACATGGGCCAGCTGTGGTAGCACATTCCTGCTCAGTGACCACACCGCCCTTATCTGGGATCTTCTCTTTTTTCATTATTATTATTACTCTTGAAGCCAGAGGACGGGTGTGTGTCGGAGGAAAATGGAAGGAAACGATTAATGAAGCCCTGACGTAAGCCGCCGTGGTTTCCTGACAGGAGACGTTTGAATCAGATCATGAGCAGACGAGGGAACAAACTCCCGCCTCTCGTTGTTTCGCTCCGACTCGGCGAGTTAATCATCGAGACGCTTTTCTGTCCTTTTACCCCCCAAAACACGAGACGCGATCACGAGGGTGTGAATAACCTGCGACGCCTCACTTCATGTGCGATGAAGCCGCCTGGATGTCTGCAGACAGCCGAAAACTCCACCTAAAGCTGCTGTTTGCTTCGTTTCTGAGCAGATTTAGACGTCCGGTGGCCAAAAAATCTCATCATAAAACCATAAAAATGAGTCACAGCCTCCACATGAGCTGCTCAGAATCAGCTGGTTCATTATCTACGAAACCTTTAGTGTGTTTAACGAAGTCACGCAAAGTTTTACCGCCGTAACGTGAGTAGTTTTAGAGTGAGAAGTGCTCAGAGCTCCATCGGTGCAGCAGATTCTCAGGATGAAAAACTGGAACCAGATCAGTTTCACATCCGTCCAGGTGTCACAGTCTGAACAATAATCTGGCTTTAGTGGCAAAACGAGACAGAAAATGACCAAAAAAACAAGACAAACAATGTGAAAATGGACAAAGAAGAGACTCAAAATTAGACAAACGAGACACGAAATGATGAAAAACAAAAACAGCATCAGGTTTACGTCCATCCTGGTGTCTCAGTCTGAACACTGGATCTAGTTCCTGTAACCAGCTGGTAGCATCAGTATTATACTTTCACCAGTTTACTGTCTATGACAGTGAAGCACGGCGGTGGCAGCATCATGATGTGTGGCTGGAGGAACCTCTATAAAGTGCATTCTGGGTAAACTTCCCAGGCTGACGTGTGATGCTGGTGGGTCAGAACCAGTTCTGGACGATGAAAGGATCAGTTTTTACCTTCATTTGGTACCAGGATCAGCTTTTTAACGCTCTGAGTTTGTTATTAAGACAAATAGTTCTGAGCAGAAGCGAGACTTTGACCCTGGACTGGATCTTTTTACAATGTTTGGCTCATTTTGT